TCGTTTCTCGCGGTGGTGATAAGGGTAGACACGTAGGGACGGGTCGACTCAAATAGAGCAGCGATATTGGCAGCTACGTGATCACGCTAAAAACTTGAAAGATCACAACGGTTCATTTCCCGCGTACACTACTTGTCACGTAGCAAGTAACGCGACTCAATCGGCCGTACTTAGCATGCCAGATATAAATCGCCGCCTGTAGAAGCCCTTCAGTAAGCTGCCGCGTCTACTCCTCGCCGCAGCGAGGTTTTCTCCACCACGGAAAAGCACGGTCTCGAAACGGGCACATACGCAAGACACATGCTCGCATTCATTGCTATTTTGTTAAACTACCGAAACTCCGCTAGCCTCCGCAGCTCCGCTATTTCTCCACTAGAACCCCGCATGCACAGTAGTGGGATCGCTCTAGCGCATACTGTAGCGGGAGAACCAGTACGATTTACTAAAACTCTCTATATTACAATCTAAGAAATAAGGGTGCGCGACTTGCTCCGTGAAGGGAGCAAATGCGCTGACACAACCGTTAGTCCCCATGGGGAGCAACGGTAACGGGTGCAACTCTTGCTCCCCTACCGTTAGTCCCTCAAAGTTGAACCCCCAGCACTAACTTTTTCACCCTTGCATTTAGTCCACGGGGACTATATGTTGCGCCCTTACCTTATTTATTGCTAAATTGCGCCCTTACACACCCAGGTGGCGCTCGTCAGCGTAAAGTGCAAAATTGGTAAAAATATGGTATCGCTGGGGTAGATCTTTTCCACGCTCATTACACACACATATGAACAACGCTTATTGCAAATTTGCACACGAACACAGACGACACACGCACAACACACTCGCGACTAAACGCTAATTTAATCGCAACCCCAAAGCCTACCCATGCGCCTTCTATACTTTTTATAAGGAAGGAGTCGTTTTGTCAGTGACCATCTCAACCGTGAACGATGTTACAAATATGGTGGTGCTTTCGCACCGATATTGTTCTCCAATATTGCTGCTAAACTTTCCAAGGAGTGTATTTCTTACTAAGAAGTAACGGTACACGCAGTAATTATTTGTGACAGTCTATAAAACAGCGTCGTCATAGGCCCCCAGCAGCCATGTTCTCGCTTCCCCGTATACAAATCCCTAATTTGCGCATGCGCGTCTCCGTGGCAACCGCATCGTCTCTTGCGAAAACTACAAGAGATAGATTGTAAAGAACACACACAAAAAAAAAACAAGCAATCTTTTTTGTCTTTGGAAACGTTATTACCACGTGCTACGTGGCTATTTTCATCCAAGTTAAAAAAAAAAGAACTATAAACGCGTTCAAAGCACATTCAAAAGAATGCAAAGGAGAAGGACACCAGGACAATGGTCAAAAGCCACATGGCTAGTGCATCAACAATGGCGACGCTTGAGTCAGCGCTGACTTCCACGACGTGCCGGAACAAAGGCTGCGATCGTTATAAAGTCAGCTTCAACCCTTAAACATGCCCCCTCCTGCAATTTTTGTTGCTACGATTGTCTGTGGATACTTCCCCCTGCGTTCCGGAACAGTGAGTGCGTCGCTGACGCTGGCCATCGGCGATGCAGCGGACGCCACCATCTTGTCCGCGCGTCTTTTGATCCCGCACTCTTGCTCCCGCGCGCCTTTTGCTGCTTTTTCACCCGCGCTATTTTCTCGTGCGCGTTTCGGTTGGTCTCGGTCAAGTGCAGTTAGTCGTCAGCATTTGCGCACGGTAGTTAGCTCGAACCAGATGGTCTATTCGGGGAGCAAATGGGAGTTCAGAGGACCAAATTCTTCCGTTAGTCCTTTTAGGCCATCTTTTTTCTTGGAGTGTGCATAGTACAGCAGCAAACGAAACAATTATTATTAATGCGATCTAAGTTGAACGCACCATTCTAAGAGTTCTACGTATCTAGAAAGCAACAAAGCACTCAACATGCCATCACTGCCACCGAACATAATCGCAGTGGCAGCGGCGGTTGGACCGCCGCTGCACCGCGAACATGGAGATTGACGTCCATTCTTCAAGCGCCTCCAGACGGCGCTGGTGCTGCATGTCAATGGTCAAATGGAGGAAAGGGAGCAATTTCCTTCATTTCCGTAGGCGACAGGAAGGAAAATCGTTTTATCCTTCATTTGTCCTCCCTTTTTGTTTAGAGCGTACTAGATCTTTGACAAATGCGCTTTTTCTTTTTTTTTTTCTTTTTTTCTGGGAAGACCGCGAATTAAAACGATAGAAAATCGAATTTGAGGGTTTTACGCGCCAAACCAACAAAATGCATCTGGCACACCCCAGCCGAGAACTGAGGATTAATCTCGACCCCCTCGGTATCTTTTGACGTGCAATCGAAATTAGCGCCCGTCAGATTGCGGGCCCATTGACCGGGACGCAAACCCGACACATCGGGATCTGTAGGCAAGCACTTTAACTCGGAACCCCCCAGGCTTACAAAAGCGGAGGGAAAAAAATTTAATACCGATACACTGTTTGCTACCATGACGGAGCTGTAAGCTGTTGGAGAGAGCTTCCTCGTCGAGTGCATCGGTCGTGACCTCACAGTGCAAGTCAGTCTGCTAAAGATATGTGGAAAGTTTTGTTCCTTAGAATTAAGATGGGAAGGAAGACCTAATGTATTAATGGTGCCATGAAAGGATGGGTTGTCTTTAATAAATACAAGTAAAAATTAGATTTTCCCATAACAAATTTAAAACGGGAATTGCATTTTTGTTTTAGGCGTTGCCACTTTATTTGTTGCACAACATATGCCTCCAGCCTTCTTCATTTCAGCAGACTGACTTGCACCTCACAGTGCAAGTCAGTCTGCTAAAGATATGTGGAAAGTTTTGTTCCTTAGATTTAAGATGGGAAGGAAGACCTAATGTATTAATGGTGCCATGAAAGGATGGGTTGTCTTTAATAAATACAAGTAAAAATTAGATTTTCCCATAACAAATTTAAAACGGGAATTGTATTTTTGTTTTAGGCGTTGCCACTTTATTTGTTGCACAACATATGCCTCCAGCCTTCTTCATAGCTACTCAATGTATGTGGTGGGCAATACTAGAGATTTGTGCTGAGCTGTGATCCTTTTTAAAGTTCACACAGAAATAAGAAAAACACTGAAAACAGACGAGGAACAGACACTCACACTTCTTTCTCTTTTCAGTGTTTTTATTCGTTCTGTTTCAACTGTAGTCTACCCAACGAGCTCTTCCACGTGTAAGCTTATTAAAGCTTGTCACTTCTTGTCACCACGGCTATTAGCGGCGGAGGTCTTGATTATACCCGAACCCAAGTTGAGTGCTGGCACAGTGCACGTGTCTATCCCATGGGTCTAATTCCACTATCGTTGAACTATCATGATTCACACGACTACGTTAGCAAATTTTGCTTAGGATAGAATGAAATAAAGTTTTCGCTTCTATTTTGTAAAGTGCAGAACGTCAAAGAAGATTGTGTTTCAGTGGTGTGGCGTATGTATACTTGTCCACAGCTGAGCAAGGAAGCTTTTGTAACGTGAGGAATATTCAAAGCATTATATAACCTGATTTTTTATTTAAGATTATGCAAGACCAAGATATTGCTCACCGTGCCAATTGATTTTATTTTGGTACTTGTGACAGTTTAGATGCACACAAATCAGGTACAAAGCACATACAACATCATGATTTTTGTATAATCACCTACCGCCGGTATTTACTCTTTTTATCTGGAAGAAAATGTTGCTTTCGGTAAAAGAACTTTTGATCTGAACGCGTACAATCCTCTTTTTGGACGCAACTCACCGTTTATTGTTATGTCTATTTATGATTCGTGCAAATATGACGTCGAGAGAAGCAACATGCACACGCAGCTAACCATAGAGAGCTTCCACTCTAACCTGCATTTCCTAACTGGCAGTGACATAAGTGCTGCCACAACGCCTTGTTTGAAAAACATTTGCAGTCAACGAGAAACGCCTTACGACTAAGCAGTCGGCGTAATTGGCGTTCGTCAAAATGGTACGGCACAGCTAGATTGGAGGTAACATCTACGAATTAAAGCGTTTCACACATAAGTATTTACGAAATAATTTTGGTTTGAGATCATAGCTTTTTTTTTACAATTTTAGTCGAGTAGGAAAGGTTGATAAAAAAAAAAAAAAAACTCATGCTATAGTGAACTAATCATACATACTACCCATCCGCCCACCTATGCATTTTTTTTAAATTTTACGACGCGTTCAAGCTAAAGGAAAATCACAGGAAAATTGTCTGAGACGTTGACAAACTTCCTGCATTAATGAAGGAAATAATATGTTTGTTTGTTTTCCTTTTCTTGTTGTTTTTAAATGAAAGAAAACACTAGCTCTCATGAAAACGTAGCAGCTTTTTCTCCTTATAATGCAAAAACGAGCTCTGCAGCACAACTTTAGGCTTGAGGTTGTGATCGTGTTGAATTGTTCGACATAACATGAAGAGCTAAAAAAAAAACAAAAAAAACTTTAGTCAATTGTTTATTCCTCGCAATCACATGCACTGGAATTTATCAATGGACGTCCAGATATGTCACTCAGGAAATCTTCGCTTGAAGAGCTGGTTATAAACTTTACACAACCAGCATTATTTTTTGAGTTCTTCATCTAGCACATCACTAAATTTTGTGACATCCACAAATTTTATTATGTGTTGTTAGCAGTGGCTGCGTAAACTAATGTTTTCCATTGAAATTTTATATAAAATTCAGAGGGCGTTAAATTTACATCTAAAAAACACTTCCCCCAAAAGACAATTATGATTTTGATTCAAAAACACTCGTATATAAAACACAATCCAACCACCTTTCAGGTTTTTTAGCTCTTCTTCTTCGTAACACTGGAATCAAATACTTGAAGGTTGACACCGTGGGCCATACAGAAAATCTATAAACCTAAAGCTTAGAGGAACAAAAAAACACACTAATAATACAGACACAAGACCTAACGCAAACGGAAACAAATATATTCATAAAGGAACAAGTGCGACTTACCTACACGAACAACGTCGGGTAATCCAGAAACCACCAGGGCCATCCAGAAGGTCACACCTCCAAAACACCAGTGCAAAGTTTCTGGCGTCAAACGAGTCAGCCGCGATGCCATATTATATCCTCGTCAATGGGAACTCAAAACATAATCACCGATGCAGCTCCAAGACAGCCTACTGCGACACGGCAGTCATGAAATCATGAACTCGAAGCTCATTTTTCGGGCATTACGGCCAAGGACAAAAAGGTTCGAGGTGTAGTTTTTGCTGATTTCCAGGAGAAGTGCTCTGCCGTTTTCAGAACGGAAGTGGGCCTAACGCGACTCCGAGTCTTTCCGCTTCTTCGGCCGAACTCTGTCTGTAGCTTCCCGACGGCATGCAAGTATTTTTTTTTCTCGTATTCTTTTTTTCTTTTTTGGACAAACAGTCGTCTGACTTGTGCTACTAGGCGAGGGAATGAAGAGGAAGAGTAGTGAATATAAAGAAAACAACAGAAACGCAAGAAAGCTTCGGGGTGTCGAGAGTGCGGGGAGTTATTTTTGGGAGGCCCCCTCTTTGCTCCGAATCCGCCGAGGCGGCTTCATGACGAGGACCCTGAGGTGGCTACTCACGGTTCCTGGGTGCGTCTCAAAAGTTCCTGCTCGGGCGCGTCGGAAGCTTACGTATTGTGCTACGGAGAATATATTAGGAAATCCTATAATGCAATATTTAAGCCTGACTAAACATACTGGAAGAGTATATTAAAATAAACAATTACATTTGCTGGAGGCAATAGGTTAATAATAAAAACTATATTGAAAGCCAGTGTATATAAAGACACAAAGGTAACCTTCGTACAAATGGTGTCTGATAGGACAAATGCGTATATTATAACATAATGGACAATACAGCCACGTTTTGCTAATTTTGTCTGTATGACCGCTGAGAGCCCCGGACTGCATCTCAGTTTTATTTGTTGTGGAGCCTTTTTCTTTTCATCTAGTTATATTTTTTGTGTACTCGAGCAGGGGTCTCCAGGGGTTTTGGGTACGTGGCGGAATTAGAGATCTTTCGCGGTCTCGATGACTCCGCATTAAAAAAATAATGATATCACTGAGGGAGTATAAATAAAAACAACTTAAATGATTATGTAAATCCAGCAGTTTTCAAAAATATAAACAATAGTAATATTTAACAATATGAGGTGAATGAGTACATATACTATATTTTATTTCATTGAATATGTTACGAATTATGACATCCCAAAAGTATTGTGACGCAGAAACAACAGCAGGCTGAATCAGATCGAGCGCACTGGATCTTTCACATATGACATAATGCGGAATACTTATGAGGATGACTGATCTAATTTTGACAATATGCAATAATCATGACACAGGGCCCTAAGCACGTACGACACGTCTACGCGTTACAGTAAAGGAATCGTGACATAGCTGCACAGACATGACAAAGGGAACTACAAATAGTAATGCTCGTGATGACAACATACAACAAATAATACGGCGAGAGAATTTGCTCTGTGATAGTTTTTTTTCAGTTCTTTCTTAGTTTTTCTCTGCGATTTTAATGTTGATAACAGCGCCGTTTCTTGCTTTCGTGTTTTTTTTTTTTTTTTACGGTCGTTTATTTTTGTGTTGGTAGGAGTGGACCATGATTCACTGGAAAGACCGCAGACATCCGCGGGACGGATTTGGCCGGTGGCCCGGGGTTTAGAGACCGATGTTCTAGAGGCTAAATAACTACGCTTCAAAAGCGACTCGATTAATTTCTAATGGGTAAATGCTAATGCTGACGGCGTTATATAAAGCTCACATAATTTTATTAGTATTCCATAAGAGTTCAAGGGCTTTCACGTGGCATTGTTTTTGTAATTTCCAATGAAACCCTAAACTGTGGGGTATGCAGCTTTATGCGGCGTGAAGTTAATAGGCTTCGAAGTGTGGCGGCTTACGTATCGGGTCTAGAATGCAAGTTGACCATGCCATACGATTGCTTATTTGGATTCTTCAAGTTGTTTTCATTTAGGGATTTTTACTCGAGCACGCATTCGGGGAACACCTGTCCACATCAAATCTCACATTACCAAGGAAAAAAAATATCGTGTTTTAAACCACGGCGTGGACTATCGCTTAACACATTGCGGGGTTGCAGTGTGTTAAGCGAATGTCAAATTTACATACCTCGAGTCCGAAGCCCATAATTCAGCATATTAAACAGATTTGTAAAAGACTACAAGATCGGGAACTCTTCTCGGTGTCAGTATTGTCCCATAACACAAAAAACTAATGGCATCGTATAGACCTTTTTACTAGGAAGAGCGGAAAGAAAAAACATTCCCTCCCCTTCTCACCAGGCGAGTCGTCTGCTCCGCCGAGTGGGCTGTACCTAACATCTGGCTGGCGCTCAAACACGGTTTAAAATTGCGTCATTTTGGAAATTTCAAGCGAAGTGGCGCGGATTTCGATATGCAAGTTATCGCGTAATGTTATGCTCAATAAAAAGACTAACCGAGTCTAATCGTGATGTTACCTGCGTGCGAATAAAAAAAATTGGAAAAACTGTGTCAGAGTGGCCGGTCGCAATGAGTGGAAATCTGAAATAATAAACTAAATTGTGCTCTCCTGGCGCAATAGACGCAGTGGTTGAGGTACCTGCTGACTCCACAGCTATTGAAATAACGGAACAAAGATACGCTAGTTGATCATTTACTGAAATAAAACAACAGAGCGCTAAAGGCTGATTTTGGAATAGCCATACATTGAAGCGCAACTGACACCAGCAATATTACGTAAATACCCAGCAATAATCTAAAGAAGCGTTAAATTTTGTATCTCATGCGGCTAAAGAGATAAAAAGTTCACAAATAAAGCATTATTCTACTTTTTTAACGATTGGTAACACTGTAGTTTGAGGCCAATTGGTAGCAGCTCTACCCTCGACTCCGTGGGTTTCAACGTTTTTAGCCGGAAAACATTTGAATCCTCGCTGGAATGTTCCTGGAGGCTCCATGATTGTTCAAGAAAAGGATACGATACGTATCCTTGATTGTTCATTGTTCGTGATTGATTGTTCGTGTAGCTCTTCAAGCTCTGAGGTGAACGTTTTCATTTTGAAGTGACGGCAGATTCAACATGGCTGCCATCTTCTCGCTGCTGGCCAGCTGTAGCCGAGTCTTCCAGCAGTAAAGGTGTAGGGGTGTGCGAATAGTGGTTCGAATCAAATAGCGCAGCGTCATCCTTTGCTTCTGCACTGAGGAAAAAATCGACCGTCTTTGCTTTCCCTTTCATTGTCAAAACTATGAATGATGCACTATTCGCACCACCCTACAAAAGGGCCTAATCATCACCGAAAGGTTTTTGCAGGTCTTCATGGATGTGCCAGTAAGGCGCGCGGTACGCTTCCCGTTCGTTCGCGTGCCTTTTTAAGCGCCGAGGAGCTGATTTTTATTAATGATACTGCCGAAGCCTACAACTTTATTTGTCACCGGGGAGGAGGAGCTGCACATTGCCACTGCTGGCGACGTGTGCCGAAGATCGCAGCACCCTCCAGCAACCATCTGAACCTGCGAAGCTATGCGCGACGACAATCCTGGACCGTCTTCAATTCGGCAGCGAGGTTTGGCCAACAAGGATTTAACAAACAAACACTGACAACACTGATACTGCGGAAGTCTACAACTGGACTCGTCACCGGGGAGGAGGATCTGCATACCGCCACTGCTTTGGCGACATGCGCCAAAGATCGGTGAGCCCTAAAGCAACCATCTGGACCTGCGAAGCTGTAAGAAGCGACGACAATCCTGGACCGTTGTCAGTTCGACAGCGGTGATTTGCCCACAAGGATCTAACAAACGAGCATTGGCATCCCTGGTGAGAGCCCAGAGCAAGCGAACGTTTTCCTACGCTTCTTGTTTTTCCACTGTTGCCGAACACAGCTAAAGTTCCTGTCTGTATTGTGCCATGTACTTCGCCGCCTGGTCTAATTTTTTTTAACCCATTTCGAAAAAAGGAAATAGAAAAAAAATTTGCGAAGGCGATTGATGATTAGCGCCACCAGGTCCGAGCGGACCTCCGATCAGTAAAAGAAAGCGTGAAATTCAACAGTGACACCTGCGACAAGGTGAAATCAATTTCCAATGACCGAAAGGATATAAAACAACTGACATAACATAACCATGACCTAAAACGGAAAAACTATTATTTTATGCATCGGACTAAATAATCTACAAATTAAGGGAAGACTGAACAACCCTCGAATCCGGGGAATCCCAGCACAAGCCGACGCAAACATTCCAAAAAAGATGGGTGAGGTATTTCGTAAAACACCGGACATAAAATACATTGATATATGCTAAAGTATGTCTACGTTAAAGCCAACGAAAAGAAATATAATTGTGCGCTTCCTGCAACGATTCAAAAGAAATGCCCTCCTCATGAAAGCAAAGAAGAAGCGGATGACAACTGAAACACTGGGCTTCAGCCGGGATCCCGCTAACGTTGTTTATATAAGCGAACACCTTACGCGACAAAACAAGAAGCTGATGCGCCGGTATCTAAAAAAAAGGGAGTTAAGTAGGCAGTATGGCCTGGAGGAAAAGGCGAGAAGGTTCCTGCACGAAAGACCGACGGCTCGGATGTTTTGCAGATTGCTACCCAAGCTGACGTTGCAAAAAAATGTCTAGGAAGAAAACGGAAGAGTTTCGATCCTTTATAGCCTCTTTCAAATTCACAAAAACCAGCCAAGTGACTACTTTACGAGTCGATATTTTAATAAAATGGGAGTGCAATTTTAATCTACGTTCTCATCTATTCACATACACGCAAGAAGTATTAATTGCAAAACAGATGCTCTTGATATGTTCTTTTTATTCGCTTTCTCTGCGTTTTGGCGTCAATAATTTTACCAAAACATAGTAAAGCAAAAATGGACAACCGCTATTTCTCTATAAATACAGGTGTGCCAACTTAACGAAGGAGAAATAAAAGATGCGGAGCAGTCCTTATATATGTTATAGACAGTTACGCTTATTCAGTAGTGGATGCTTTCACCATGATAAACGAAGATGTTGAATGCCTCACCGTACATATTGAAAAGACATTAGTTGCTGGCATATACCTAGCCCCCCCCCCCCCAAGAAAACAAAATAAGTTTTATTTAATTTGGCAATCGCTTCCTCGGTTTTCTCACTTCAGAATCGCTCCCATATTTGTCAGTGGGTGATATCAATATTAATACACTCTCAGACACAATACATGCGAAAGATTTTAATGATACCACGATGTGCTAGAGCTGTAGCAATTTTATAACGCTGCCAACAAGGGTCCCTTCAGGAAGTGCCACATCGTTCCATATTCGTTTAACAAACTTAGGCACAATTGA